AAATCCGGAACACGGAAGTATATCATGGACTTGTCATATTTGCAGGTATCTATCCAATGAATGAAATATCACTTGCTGGCTTTTTGATGTAAAAAGAGAGTTTTTTTCCCCCCACAAATGTATATTCAGTTTTTGACATGTTAAGACTATGGTAAGTAGCACCTTGAAGCGCACCTGGAGATCAGCAGGTAGCCAGCGCAGCTCGCGGAGGATAGGTGTTATGTGGGTGAACCGAGGTGCACCCACAATCGCTCGCGCAGCCGCATTCTGGACTAGCTGAAGTCGCCGGATGCTCTTCAAGGGCAGCCCCAGGTAGGGGTTGTATTATTTACCATAGTCTTAACATGTCAAAAACTGAATATACATTTGTGGGGGGAAAAAAACTCTCTTTTTACATCAAAAAGCCAGCAAGTGATATTTCATTCATTGGATAGATACCTGCAAATATGACAAGTCCATGACATACTTCCGTGTTCCGGATTTTACAACCACGTAACAAAATTTTATCAGAGTCCAAAGCATATCTCTTTCCTCTCCATAACAAAGCGCCTGTAAATTTATCTAGACGATTGTTGGGCTCTTCACATTCTACCAGGCCTAGAGGGATATTAAAAAGACCAGCAAGAGGAAAGAAAAGATTGTGGATTACAATATTGTACTTAAATATTTTCATGGCAAATTGCTCTATCTGGCAAGTGAACAGTAGTTGACATGCAATGCAAGTAATCCTGTTTAGCTACCACAATTGGGACTGGCAATTTAGTCATTATGCAAAGCTATTGCTGAGTGAAACTGTGGCTCTACTTACGATCTTATTTCAACTTTTCCAAGAAGGCCACAAATGTGAGGATTGGTCAAAGTTACTTTTTCATCACTTCATCAAAACTGCATCACGAAACAAGACAGTCACTAATCGAAGTCTGCCTGTACTTCCCACATAGGATGGGATTATAGGTGCTACTGAGCCAAGGTGGCGCAGTGGTTAGACTGCAGTACTGCAGGCTACTTCAGATGACTGCTAGCTGCAGTTCAGCAGTTCAAATCTCACCAGACTCAAGGTTGACTCAGCCGTCCAACCTTCTGAGGATGGTAAAATGAGGAGCCAGATTGCTGGGGGCGATAGGCTGACTCTGTAAACCACTTACAGAAGGCTGCAAAGCACTATGAAGCGGTATATAAGTCGAAGTGCTATTGCTATTGCTACTCCTTTTCTTGACATATTTTACAGCCTCTTGAAAATGTTGCTTATAACTTAAGAATTCCTCTGGAAAAGGGTGGATTGTGCATGCAAAATCTGAAGAATCTGGTTACATTATGTATTTTGCACGACCTATTTGTATGAACAGAGCCAAGTTCTTAGGTACCTCTTTGGAGACAGAGATTCATGGTCAGAATGACAATTAAGAATGACAATTAAGTTTATTATTGCAATTCCCTTCTGCTACTAAAGGTTTGCATCTCCAAGCTTTCTATCATGGAGAGGTAAAAAGGATTAAAAAGTAGGAAGTACACTAAAGCATTTTTCTTATATAAGAGCCAAGCTGGAAGGAAGCATCTTTTAGGCCAGAGCAATGAGGAACCAACAGGGGACCTTTCCTTGTCATCTTTATTCTAATGCCCCTAATCTATATACTGTATATAAAATAGCTCTCTGTGTGTGTGTGTGTTCCAGCATAACTCTGAAACGCCTCAAGCATTTTCAACCAAACTTGGTACACAGATGACTTACTCTCTGGAAACAAATACTGTGGGTCTAAGACACCACTAACACCCCTAGGAGTGTGTGTTCTGTTAAGATACAACCTGCAGTGCCTTAAAATGGCTTCTACTGTACTGCCTTAAAATGGCTTCTACTGTACAGCACAGTGGAGGTGCCATGGTAACCGCTAGACACAGTACTCCACAATGGGGCTCCCTCTGGTAAGAGGGAAAATCCAACATTAGAAATTACGTTTGATCCGGACATTTGTGAATGTCTAATACCAGATTAGGATAAACAAATACCCAGGCAATGCCAGGTTAACAGCTAGTGATCAATAGGATAAAAGGTGTAAAGTACCCCTGCTTCTGGAACTGTGTCTACAAACAACAATAGCATAGGGAATTAAGAGGGAGGGACACCCTCTCCAAATGAGATGGAGACATCTACAAAGTGGGAGTTCTTCTCGAAGATAGTAAATCCAACTATGAATGGGCAATCTAACCATTGCCCATTGCCCCTCATTCTAAGTTCATGTCCGTCCTATTTAGAGGAGCCTTTAAACGTTCTCCTCCACATAGATGAGCTGGAAGGTTATTGGGAGAAGAATGCAGGGAATGAGTTCCATGGCATTCTTATGTGGTTAGATGCAACACATTTTTTAATGTTTTATTGGATTTTTATTTTTAAACATAAAACAACATCAATACATGAACAGTGTGGCATCTGTGTATAACTCATATTAATACAAATAACAACAGTCAATTGTTACATTAATCAAACTTGTATAATCCTAATATGAACATACTTGATTGTTTTAGTTACTCAGAGTTTCCATGTTCCATTCTAATGTCAATAATCTTCTTAAACATGCATAGTAATACCATATTTCAATCTCTCATCTTTCCATCTAGTTATAACATGTTCAACTTATATAGATATTGTAACTGCTTAAATTCCCTCTAATTCTTACTTCTACCTCTATTCTGACTTCTAATAAAGTCACTAATCCTAATATTAATACACATGTTTAATTGAGACATCGCCCTTTTAAAGATGCGTATTCTTATTTCTACCTCTATTTCTAGTGAATTGCAACGGAAAATGTTAAATTTCTGCCAAATTCAATGGGTCGCGATTAGATGCAACTCAATGAATTTGACAGAAATTTAATATTTTCCGTTTTGTGATGTGCGATAGGAACACACTTCAGTTTTTCTTTCAATGGAAGCATCTCTTGCAGAATTTCACCTCATAAAGCAATTTGTAGGGAAGTTCACAAAGGACTGAGACAATCAGAACGGAGAAGCTAAGTAGTTACACAGAAAAGAATATGTGCTTCATGCGACGGAAAAATGTTTCAAACTTAATGGCTTCTGCTAAAAGTAAAAGGGAACATCAGGTCCTAATGTTAATGGGTGTTTCTTGGTCATTGAGATTGTTAAAATGTGGTGTGTGTGTGTTTTTTTTTATACATGTGAAAAAGTTCGTTGTCTTAAAGACTGGATAAAAGTCTTTGGATTTGATGGAAGATAAATTTTTAAAGATAATTGAGAGATTAAAAAGGGAAAGTATGCTTGAACAAACCATCAAATACTGCAAGTGCACTTTCTTCCTGAAGGCACCTGTCTGTTACTTCCAGTGACATTTTGAACTTTAAGTTGGTTTCCCTAGCAAAAAGAGAGAGAGAGAAAAAATAAGTTGCAATGGTGGAAGTTTAATAAGGTAAATTAAGGATTTCAGTTTCTTTTTTTTAAAGTTTGCTTAAGACTCTGCAGTTATTTATTTTCGATTACATTTTGTTTTTCCTATTTTTCTGGTTATTATATTTAAAACATGAATAAAGCAACAGTGGCAAAATCTATAGACCATCCCTGCATGACGTCTCAAAATGAATTCTATTCCAATTTCTAGATGAGATCCATGGCCAAGTAATTACATAGATTAAAAACTGCTCTACTTCCTTCTCCATTAAATCTAATTAACAGAATGAATTTTGTTAACAAAGTAGAGATGTTGCATAGGATGTTTAGAGATATAATATGGTGGTTCATGGTCATTTGGGGGGAATCATATCATTTTGCTAAGGAAAACAAAACTAAATCAGTTTTTTAAAAGATCAAACTTTCTGGATAGACTTGATGAAAATAGGTTTTGTATGAGATGGGAACTACTGTATGTAGAACCAGCACATACAATTTTCCTTTTTTTTTTGGTCATTGTATCACAATGGGAAATGGCTGTTTGCATCACCTTGTTCGTGTTATTTGTGCAGTGATTATATAGGAGAACTAAAATACTGTTGAACCAGATTAGAGAGCAACAGGTAACTAAACAAACTGAACAACAAGAGTGATAGGTTTTTTCTTTAAAAGAAGAAGTTATAAGCAAGAGCCTCATTGTAATTTAAAGGAACCCCCCCCACACAAACACACAATTTATACATTTTAACAGATTGGTCATGCTATATTTCTTTCACTTATATTTTCTATCCTTCAAACAGAATTAGTTGTGTAGTTCTTAAAAGCAAGATCTATGTATATATTCCCAATAATAAACTGTAAGGTACAAACAATATATTTTAACAACAATACTCCAGCTTTACTTTCTTCATTTTATTCCTGCAAGTGGAATAAGATATAAAATATAATATTTTAATGTTTAAATATGTCCTCTAAAATTCCCTCTGTAATAATGTAAATCTGTTGTTAAGACAACACACAATCAATATTTTGGGCATATTTGGAGAATGAAAGTAAGAATAAACAGACTTACCCATCTAATTCAGCTGTTTCTACATAACAAAGGCTATTGGGCTCCGAACTGGACAACAACAAAATATCAGCCTAGTTAAATAAACAAAATAAATTAAATGTACATAATCACGACATTAAATTTTCAGTGTTAATATATAAACATGCAGAGCTTTTGTACTTACAGGAACAAATGCATTTTTCCCCAAACGGATGATATCGCCAACTACAATGTCTTTCCATTTTGTGTTCTGAAAACTAAGTAGCAAGATATTTACACATAGAAATGTGTACATTATATATACAAAAATGAAAATATAATTTAATAATTATTAGAGTAAAGCCTCTAGTATTTTGCTCCAAAAATGTATAGAACAGTAATACAAACTTTCCTAAAAAAACCTTTTAAATATTTAGCATGCATACTGAACACTGTATTTATGATTCAGGAGACAACAGTATTTTTCAGCAGCAGCCATCACTGTGCCATTTTGCACAATATAAGGAGTATGAAAAGAAAAAAATCTAGTTTATTATTTCTAAATTTCACATTCTCTTTCTCATCTAAATATTGACGTTCTTCTTATTACAGAAAGTTTAAACATTTGGGCTTACATACCCCTAGATCTGCAGGATTATAGATACTGGTTTAAAATATGTAAATTTGATTTTTCTTATAAGGAAGGCAAATAGATGTGTCACAGGGTAACGTTGCAAGATCCAATCTGGGTCAGGCACCAGGACCAGAGGTTTACTCTTCCAGAGTCATGCTGGAGCCTATCTTCAGGAACTTCTCTCTACTGGAATATGTGCTTTGGGCTATCCTGTGAGCCATATTTATGTGGTGCCTTCCTATTGGTTGATTGGTGTGTTGATGGCTGGCGATTGACTGTTGTTTCCTTGCTCTGACAAGCCCTCGGCCCTCCTTGATAAGCTGGTGTAAAATCAGCACTTCTGTTAACTGACAAGGGGTCTGTTTCAGCGGTGGGTTTCACATTTTCACAATTCGCCCCGCGTGCACCCCTTCTGCATGTGCGTCCAGCTTTCCGTGCATGTGCGCACACCTCCCACACATACACCCAGCCTCAAAAACATGCCTAAATAGGACAGCATAGAGCCGGGACAGGTGGGCAGACCCACCCGGGATTTCCGCTACTAGTTTGGGTGAACCGGTCCAAACTGATTGAATACCACCTCTGGTTTGTTTCCCAGACTTCATGACTGTAAGCCGCCTGGAATCCTCCGGGATTGGGCGGCCTATAAATTTAATAAATGAAATGAAATGAAATGACTGACTACCAATTTATCAAGAACTTAGGAGCTGAGGGCTTGGCAGCACAAGGAAACAACAGTCAATCACCAGCCATCAACACACCAATCAACCATTAAGAAGGCATCACATAAATACAAAGAATGAAATAGCCCAAAGCACATATTCCAGTAGAGAGAAGTTCCCTGAAGACGGGTTCCAGCACGAATCTGAAAACTTGGAAGAGTAAACTTCTGGTCCCAGTGATCAACCCAAATTGGATCTTCATTTTTTCCTCCTCATTTTATTACTTCAAAATGTGACGTTAGAATCATTCAGCTATGTAACATTCACAACGTTTACTTAGTTATTTGTTATGCACGTAGCTGAAAATTACCTAATGATTGACACCAATTCACCACTATATAAACATTAGACTTGTACAAACTGGATTCAATCAGATTACCGGTTCAATTCAAATTAAGCTGATCAGATTTGAAACACTGATCCAGTCTGAGCTTCAATTCAAATCAATTCAGATTCAATCAAACCAGATTGAAAGCTAAAAGTAATTGTGTGTTTGTAGGAAACCAGTGCAGTTGGTTAAATGGAGCCAATGTGAAGCAATCTTTTGATTTTAGAAATCGGGTTCAGAAATTTGCCTGAATGTGAGAATTAAATATTTGCATGATAGACGGAAATGAAATGTTAGTGTGGAAAGTTAGTGTGTCTGCCCAAGGCATCCTCATTTTTCCTGCCTCTCCCCCCCCCCGCCCCAAGTTAATAGCCATTGCACCTGCAGAAAATGGTTCATCGACAAATGCACGCTTGACAAATGCGCGTAGACAAAACCGCGCCCGCCATCAACAAACAACATAATGGGACGCGAAAACAACATTATAAACCTAACCCTAACCCTTTATAACGTTGTTTTCGCATCCCACTATGTTGTTTGTTGATGGCGGGCGCGGTTTCATCAGCACGGTTTTGTTGACGCGCATTTGTTGGGCGCGCATTTGACAGGTCACGGTAGAAAATTATATATATAATT